GCATCTTATTCTTAAAGCCCTTCTGGAACAAGGTAGGGTATAAACAATTAGTCAGCAGCTTATAAAGATGAAAGGAGTTTAGAGATAATCAAGTTCTAGACTCTATATTTTACAAACGAGAGATCAGAGGCTGAAACATCCCAATGACCATTGGTTTGAAGATGGACTGGAATTTAGGGATCCCAAATGTGGCTTACTGATCTCCCCTCAATATCTGGTTGCCTCCTATGACATTAGATTCTCTTGTCTTTCCTCTTCTTAAGACATCACTGCCCAAGGGATGTTGACAGACATTTCTCCCCAACTGAAGGAATACAAAACTTAGGAAATTCTATATTCTACATCTTGGAGAGTCACAAGAAAATTCTGAGCAATTCTGCAATAAGTAAATCAATTTAATTCTGATTAGCCCATGTCTCCCAAACATATGTGACCATCAATAAAATCTTTTTTTTTTCTTTTCTCTTTCGGGGGCACCGTGAGGAATTACACCCATTTGCACACCTCGGAGCACACTTTGGGAAGTGCTGGGTTAAGACGAGGTCTCCCGAAGCCACTGTCTAAATCCCCACGGCGGGTAGGAGAGAGGAATGGTCAAATGTCCATCTCAATGACACATCAGCTTGGACGGTGGCTGGTCTCAATGTTGGCAGCTCGTGCTGCTCTGCCAAGCCCAGGGCCACAGCATGTCAAAAGGTACAGGACCCACTAGTGACAGAGGTATTAAGGAAGGGGCACAGCAGTCACCCTCGGCCTTTCTCCCCTGCTGCTCGGGGGACCCTCTGCAGGCTCGCGGCAGGAGCACATCTCACCTGGCAACCGTGGATGGGGTGCCTGGACCCCTGCTCACCTTGCAGCCACAGCATGCACCCGGCTTGGAATTCTAGAAGGACAGGAATTACAAATTCTTCTTCCACCGAAGTAAATGCCATCAGTGGAAGGGTGTAGGGTTCCAAAAACAGCAATGTGACATGGCGCGTGTACCCCTGGGGGGTGGCAAGAGTGTTTACGGACCCCGAAGGGACCTGACAGTTACGCAAGCTCTGGTATGGTCCGGGTGGCACTCGTGTGGGGTGTGCGGGGCCCTAACATCTGACCCTGGATGCCGAAGCCATTTCTACCCTCACTTGGCAAGTTACTCACCAGGAGTGAACTTTAGTTTCCTTTTTAGTACAATAGGAAAACTGACAAGAGTGGGAGGTTGGTCAGGAGGATTAAAGTTTGATATTTGCAAAGCGCTTAGACCAGTGCTTGCCTCACAGTAGGTACAATATAATTGTTAAATAAAAGAGTGTCATTTTATTCCCCTCAATTTCTATCCAATTTCCCCCAGCTGATGAATATATCCTTTCTCAATGGATGACGACAAACAGCATTGGCAAAAACAAGGCACCCACCCACTTACTTTAAGACAGCCTGAGTCATCACAAGGACACACATGAGGCCAACGTACATGCTGACGCAGCTGCCTGCGGGCTCCCAGCACTTTCCAGCTAGCTGTGGTGGCATGTCAGGGACAGCTGGCTGTCAGTGGCACCTGCTGATGATCAGGCCTCCAGTGCAGTGGTTACCGGGGATTCCGGCAGAACCAGAACAAGTACTGTGTTTCCCCGAAAATAAGACAGGGTCTTATATTTATTTTTCCTCAAGAAGACACCCTAGGGCTTATTTTCAGGAGATGTGTTATTTTTTTTAAGTATGGTACAACAATCTACATTTATTCAAATATAGTGAAGTCATTTTCTTCTGGAACATCATCATAACTCTCCAAACCCCGAATTCCATCCTGAATTTCTTGCGACTCTATTTCCTTTAGAACCATTGGCCCCAATCTCTCATGTCAAGCAATAGAGCTCTCAACAGGCAGATGAGAAGGGCTGCTTGTCTTCTTTACCGCTCCGGGACCAAATGCATGGGTTGTGCAGATACGCTGCGTAGCCACGCCCATCACTAGGTCTTATTTTGGGGGTAGGGCTTATATTGTGCAAATGCTTAGAAATCCTGCTAGGGTTTATTTTATGGGTAGGTTTTCGGGGAAACATGGTAGGTAGGATAGTTGGTGCGGCTGCAGAGTCACAGATGGGTCAGCAATGACCCTGCACGTGGCCGTGCCTTAAGGCCCCCCACCAGCCCTGAGGCCTCAACCTCCCAGGAGCACCTGGCAGGGGCAGTAGAGACTGCCCCGCCTCTGCCTGGGCCTTCCCTTCCTCACCAACCCTTAACTCAAGTTGTGAAAAACAATCACATGAACACCGACCAAAAAAATGTACTAAAATACCAACCAAATTAAAAACGGACCAAAAAAATGTACTAAAATAGATAGAAACAATAAAGGGAAAGAGTTTGGTAAAGCCTTGGTTAATTTTTCTTGGTTTCTTTTTTATGTACTTGAAACTATCATCATCTGAATGTATTTCTACATATTTTATTTATTCATTTATTTATTTCATCATATTACGGGGGTACAAATGTTGTTAAGGTTACATATATATATTGCCCTTGCCTTCCCCCCTCCCCCCCCATCTACTTCTACATATTTTATAAAAAGATATACAGATACGGGGGGGAAGAGGGAGTGGGAAAAAAAAGATAAAGAAATACATCTTTAAAAGGATTTATCACACACATACTTTTCAAAAGACTAAGAAATTTAAAAACAACAAAGCAGATAATATGTGTGAAACACATCGTAAGTGGTAAAGGATCTGCTTTTGTTATATAAAACTACCCCTTACACAGGTTGCATAAAAAGCCGAGAAGGATTTGCAGTCATCTAATGACCTACTGTATACTGCCATGATCACAACTATAAGTTTAGAACTCTCATAATTTATATTACGTAGTTTTTGCAAAAATGTTCAGGGAATTGTTCTTACACACATCAGCCAAATTTGGGGAGTAACAATGAATCTCCCTCGGACCCTAAGGATGAGGGGCCCTTGAACTTGGAGTTGGCAGTGGCCTCTACACACCTGCTGTCTCTCCTGCTCGCTAGCTCACATGCGCCGTCCACAAACGCAGCACACTGCAGCCTGGCAATATCGTTTTCTGGTCTAGCAAGGAACACACGTGCACACAGGAAGTCCCCAGACACCTGGGGTTAGCAGAGACCACTGTACTGCCAATCCCTGTGTTCAGGGAGAGGTGGGAATACATAGGAACACGGGACCTCAGTTAAAGCCAGTTCTGTTTTCAATCCAGAGTTTGCACGTTGCTTTGAATGTCTGATTTGAACCCTCAAGTTCTGACCATTTGGGACATGGCTCCCTTTCACATACTCCCTAGCAGTGTACCTCTTACCTTAAAGCTCGTCTTTAAATGTATCTTTTTAATCTTATCTTAGGCAACACGCACTTGCTTCCAAGAATCACCAGGTGACGTGCATAGGTTTATTTCGTCTATACTGATGTGAGCAATATCAAAGCAGGTCTGGTGTGTTCATCCAGTATTTCTAAACTTCCATGATTTTAATTCTTGTTACTACAGTAATTTAGACAAGACACGCTGCTGCTATCTTAAAGACCTTTTTGCATGCAATACATGCATAATGCAATGTGAAGAAAACTATCACTGAAAGGAAAACTATTTTCCCAAATTATGACTTGCATCTACAATAATGAGAAGCTATTGAAATATCCTTTTAAAAAATCTCTACGCTGATCTAGTGCTTAGAATTGTGCGATTTCCCATTGCTCTGCTATTTTCCCATTCTGTATGCACAGCACAGATTCCTGCCAAGCCTACTACAGTGAACAAACAATGTCCTCTCTGTCAGAACAGAGAATGAATAGTATCACAAAATTCCCCTCTAATGTACAGCCTACATTCCCCCCACCTCGACCCCTTCAGAAGAAAATAACCAGGATGAGGAATGAGGAGGAAAACATGACTCTCCTCTTTCTTGCCAATCTGAAATTGCCTTCTAGAAACTGCAGCCTAAGTAGTGTCAACTATATAACATCAACTTCTAAACAGACAAAGTTGACAAGTATATTTTCTTTTAAATTGGATCATATATTTTTGCATTTCTCAGTGTGTGGGTGCACAGATATCTTTATAAGGAAGGAAGGAGGCATTTTATCAGGTAAAATTTCAGCAGGCATTTTATCAGATAAAATGAAACAGCTTTTAGCTACAGACTGAGCAGCAACAGGGAAACTTCATAGAAATGACACAGCAATTTGTGTTAAAATATTGGCAGCTAATTCATGAATGCCAAAGCTAACTGTGAATTCAGCTGCTTCTGTTAAGCCTTCATTTCCACTAAGCTCATGATTCATAAAGAAAGCACCTACAGTTACTCCTTAGAAATGTACAGTATGATGCAGACAGATTCCCCTTTGGCGTTTTCTCTCTCTCTCTCTCTCTCTCTCTCTCTCTCATTCACACACACACCCCTCCCCACGAGAAGCATTAAGGACATGATTTTTACAAAACAAGAACTTCATGAAGCATTTCTCACAAACCAACAACAGGCTTACTTAATAGGCATTTTCATAGAAGAACACGGACTTCCTTAAAATCTTCCATACTTGTAAGTCTTAGCTGGTGTAAAATATTATAATTCAGGTTTTCCCTCCTTGTGACACGAATATAGCATAAATTTTATTTGTGACCTCTAAAGGAAATTACCCAATTTTTTTCTTCATAAAGGTTAAAATGCTACTTTTATAAATCGAACCACACTGGCTTTTGTTTTCCTGAGTATCTGTAACACGAAGAAAAAAGTCCAGCTTCCCCTTTCCTCCCTTTTTCCCACACATTTTTAGCGCAGCTCAATGAGCTCCCAGATCCTGACAGCATTCTCCTGGTAACACATTTAGAAGAGGCTGCAGGATACCCCAACAGCTCTGCTTTCTTCTCTCTCTCCCTCTCCCCCTCTTTCTCTCGTATCACTCTACGTCTGTATTAGACTGAACAATGAAACCTTTGTGCAGTACCACGGCAATTCAAAAAATTCTAATGCTATGCCCGTTTATTGGTACAATGGTAATATTTACCCGGGAGAAATGTTTGTCCAAAAGAGTATTCCAAATTCTGGCAATGTATTCCCTTTGCAATGTGGTGGTGAGAGTTCTCTCTTCTGTCTTGGCCTATAACCAAAGAGAAAGAAAGTTAGAAAAAAAAGACAGATGGATATAGACTGTGAAAGATATTTATCCAGTTCACTGTAAAAATGTTAGCTTATTTATGCCAAACCTTGAGCTTTACATTCCTTCCTGAACAAAGCAAATTGAAAAGTAAAGGCAAAACTGCAAATAGTAGTGAATAAAAAATTTTTGCTAAAATGACACCCAAGTCAGTGTCTGATCAAATACAAATCAATTGACTTGCTCTTCCCATAGTCTTCCCAGTTTACACCAAACAAATCTGTGTGTTTGTTGTAGTGATGTTAAAATTCAAATAACTTACCTGAATTAGAAATAGAACAAGCAATTCATCTGAAATGAGCATTTATGGGTTTTGGTAAGGTAAGTGTGGTTCAGTTCTGAAAATTTCTTATTACAGGGAGATTTTGGTGCAGTGTGAACAGTGTGACCTGCATGTCACTCAGACCTGATCCCAGGTCATCCCTTCATGCGTTCTGCTGTTGAAATGGGGAAGTTGCAAAGAAAGATGGAGAGAATAGTCTCCAAACATGGAGAGACTACAGGGATGACCTCCCTCGTCCTCCCTCCTGGTCTGTCAGTGCCCCAGTCCTGTCCATGGTCCTGCTTTACTATTGGTGCCCAGCCCTTCCTCCATCTCCCACCCCTAGTTTCCTCTCTAGTTCTCTTCCCAGCCTAGAATAAGTATCTCCTGTATTCAACATTTACTTTACCTAAGACACCATGACAGGTACAGTGTGAGAGGGAGGAGGGGAGAGGGATGGAGTGGATGAAATGAATGAATGAATGAATGAATGAATGACCATATTTACATTTGAAGGAGAATATCCTCGCTGTTGACTAAGATTCAGAACCTCTCAATCATTTTAACGGAATGAGGCACAATTCCTGACTTTCAATATAACAAACTGAGTAGAACACAAACCTTCTAGATTTGCATCTACTGACATTCTTTTGTTAGGAACACATCTTATCATCTTAGACTGCGTGTTGCTTTCTTCCACAGCAGAATTGGCAGAATATTTATATTATCTGGAGGTATATCTATTGTTTCCCTGACAGTTATGAAGTGAGAAATGCTGCCTTTTGTTTGCCACTGCATTCAGCTACATTATTATTTTCTTTTAATAAGTCTAAAAAGATCAGAATGAGACACACAATCGTGGGCTGTCTTCCTCTAACCTGACTCCAGTTCTTTCCACTGTCAATCACGCAAACTAGGAGGACAGGGCTTCACTGGGTGGGTGCAGGGATTGACAGACAACTGAGTTCTCAAGCCAGTGTTTCACTCTTTCATTAGATTTCAAATCAAACCTCCTTCTAAACCCCTGCCATCCAGGTATACTCTGATGTGGATTCCCACTGTAAACCTCTCCACTTCTCTGTGTCATCACGGTCGATCCCAAAGAATGCTCCTGAATGAGAAATACCAGCGACATTTGATTATCTAAATCAAATTGCTGCAGTAAAAAAAAATAATGAAAAGAATAAACATTTTTCTTAAAATGCCAAATCCTATTAATGCATACCAGAAATATGTTTGGATGTGCTCTATTACTAGATAAGAGTGAAGAGCCTGATTTGAAAACTGGATACACGATTTGACAGTTAAATTTAATAAGAGTGGTACATAGTTTTATATTTTCAGAATATGTATTTCGTGAATTAAAAATATTCCAAGGAAGCAAAGTAATCAAGACAGTGTGGCATAGTCATAAGGACAGACATATAGATCAACAGTTTAAACTTTAGCATCCAGAAATAAACCCATATATTCATACTCCTTCAATTATATGGTAAATTGATTTTTTTGACAAGGGAGCCAAGGCTAGTCAATGGAGAAAGAATGGAATTTTTCAATAAATGGTTCTGGGACAACTAGAGAGCTATATACAAAAGGATGGAGTTGGATCTTTGACTCAGACTATATAAAAAAGTTAACTGAAATGGATCAAATACCTAAATGTAAGAGCTAACGGTATAAAACTCTTAGAAGAAAACATAGGACATGAGCTCAGATTTGGCAACAGTACTTTAGATGTGACACCAAGAGCACAAGCAACAAAAGAAAAAATAGAAAAACTGAACTTTATCAAAATAAAAATATCTGTACTTTAAAGGACACTATCAAGAGAGTCAAAAGACAACCCAAAGAATGTGGAAATATATGTCTAAATCATATACAACAAGGGACTTGTATCTAAAATATATAAAGAACGCTTACAACTCAATGATAAAAAAATATATAACCCAACCAGAAACAGGCAAAGGATGTGAATAGGCATTTCTCCAAAAAAGATAAAAGATATGTAAATGGCCAATAAGCACATGAAAAGATGTTCAACATCATTAGTCATCAATGATGTACAAATCAAACCACAATGAGATATCACTTCACACAGTTAACTTTTTTTATTGTATGACTACAATAAAAATATCTAAGACAATAACAAGTGTTAACGAGGTTATGGAGAAATCAGAACACTCATACCCTGCTGATAGAAATAAAAGTGATGCAGCCACTTTGAAACAGTCTGGAAGTTTCTTAAAATGTTCAACATAGAGTTACCAGTTAATCCAGCAATTCTACTCCTAGGCATATATCAAAAGAAATGAAAACGTATATGCACCCAAAAACTTGTGCATTGATGTTCACAGAAGCATGATTCATAAAAGCCAAAGAGTGGAAAAAAAACCAAATGTCCCTCAGCTCGTGAATGGATAAACAAAATGTGGTATATCCATACAAAAGAATATTTTTCAGCCATAAAATGGAATGAAATACTACTACATGTTACAACATGGATGAATCTTGAAAACATGCTAAATGAAAGAAGCCAGTCACAAAAAAATCCCACATACTGTATGATCCCATTTATAAGAAATGGGTAAATACGTAGAGACAAAAAATAGATTTGTGGTTGCTCAGGGCTGAGGAAAAAGTGGTGATGAAAATGGGTCTAACACTGATGATTGCACAACTATGTAAATATACTAAAAATCATTAAATTGTATACTTTAAATGGGTGAATTGTATGGTATGCGAATTGTATCTGAATAAAGTTCTTAACAAAAAAAATACATTCCAAGGGAAGGGATGTGGAACACACACACATACACGTACAATTATAACATCAGTCATTCTCCAAATCAATCTTAAAGAAATATGACAAACCCAAGTGCAATTTTAATCAAAATCCCTGGAATTGCTGCACTAAACAGACCACCCAGCTCCACTGCAAACTATCACATCTCAGCTGAGGCAACCTGAGTATAATTCTGCATGGACCACATGCTCCTTCAGGTCCTCTTTCACCTTCCTGTCTCTAAGTATGGACAGCAGTGAATCAGTGCAAACAATTATTGACCCAGTCAAACAGAAACCTTGTGCTTTCAGCACTGATTTCTTTTTCTATTGAATGGCAATTTTGGACTTCTGAAACCAGCACTCGAGTCAAATATGACCACTCTCCCCACCTGCATATACTAGGTCAGTGGAATGCCAAGCTCAGCACTGTTTCCTCTACACCAATTTCACTGACAGCTTTCATGAGGACTGACTGCAGGTTCTTGACACTGACGATGACACATTCATAAGAAGGTCCAAACAGGTGAACTCTAGGAGTTCATGAGGCCAAACTAACCCGAAGGCTTGTTCTGGCTAAAGCCATTCAGAGGAACTGAAATAGAGCTCAATTTCTGGGACACAGGGACCCTGAAGGATGAGATATGCACCTGACAGATGGCCTGGACCAAGTCCCCGCTGATTGGCATTGTAGAGGAGAGGTCTAAGGAGAAGAGTTTTCTCAAGGCCATGCCCTAACGGTCTTTCCTGGGGAAGGAATGGCGATGTTGAGAGCATACTTCCCTGATATCTGGGTAGATAAACACAGGGATTTAGTAGCATAGACTTGAGCAACCCTATTCAAAATTCTGTTTGACTTTTAAAAACCGTATCTGGAGGCAAGATATCTACTCAGTATGAGACAAGAATCGTGAAGCTCAATTACAGATTCTCAAATTTAAAAGAAACTTAAAAGATCATCTATAAATCAACCCCACTTGATACCTGAATCCCTTCTACAATGCCCGCGACATGCAGTCTATAGTTGCACTGTCAAAAGGACTTGATTAAACAGAACAGTTCAAAGTACTGTGCACTGAATGCATCACAGTGCCTAGAATGCAGTAATCACTCAATATTTGTTCACTGATTGAATTAATTTTAAAGAATCAGAGCAGACTCATGATGTTGCTGTAATAAAGTTGCTCTCACTCATAGTTCCTGAAGGCAGAGAAGAGAGTATGATTACAGGTTGGTCATGACTGGCATACCACTACGGCGATATTTCACACATATGAATGCCATCCAAGCCAATACTATCCATTATCCATGTTGCAATGGAAACATACCAATAAACAAAACTTAGACTGCTAATCTAGCTGTGCTGGATTTCCTTCCAGCAGAAGGGAATTCCTCTAACCCAAGGAATCCCCTTCTGTCTCTGGGAAGTGCTGTTAAATTTGAGCTAGGAGTAGGGAAAGTTCTTCTGTATTCCACTGATTTAGTGGCTTCAACCTAGTTTGAGTCTTGGTTCTAACTTCTAGGGCCATGTGGAGCAAGTCCAACAGTTCTCCTACATGGCAATCCTTCAAATGCTTGAAGACACCCATTTAAAGAAGTCCCTCTTCCCCTACCCTGTAGCATCTGCTTCTGTATTTGAAAGAACAGAGTTTTAAGTACCACTTGCCATAAGTCAAAGAAACACAAAGACTGTAAGGAGAAGAGAGCAGGGCCCTGGCCAGGTCTGCTCACAAGAGCAGAGCAGGCTGAGAGCCTCCTCCAGCTACAAAGCCCAATCAAGGAGGGCAGGCCAATGACCAAGCACCTCATCCAATGGACAACGTATCCTGGATCTGATTTAGGAAACAGTTCTTATCTGGGTTTTCATGGTGTGGTGGAGGGAATTTTCAGGCCCAGCTATCACAGGGAGGCAAAGCTATCAGTGGAGAGTAACAGGCTGGCGAAGTCAGGTGGTCTATTATCATCTTAGAGGTCTAGTCACAGCAACAGAATCAGACCACTGGGCAGTGACTCAGAGTAAGAGCCACAATTCTCCAGAAGACTACTTGGCAAGATAAAAAAAAAAAAGACCATGGTACCCAAAGTAGATATTCAGTCCCAGACACCTGTACACACAGCAACAGAAAGAGCTGAAAGTTGGAAGGTTCAGGAGTGAGTCATTCCTGGGATGTCATTCCTGGGATGCCAGATACCACATCTGGATGGTAATGAAGGCCACTGGAATGCAATGGCAATGACCCAGTGGTCAGCACTGGGCAGTACCATCTCATCATGGGAGATTAAAGTTCAGCAAACAGATACAGCCGGCATTGAGCAAGACTCTACCATAGGCAAGGTACAAAGGGAGTACAGTTAGCAATATGCTCCACTGGACTGTGGGGTAGGCTTTGACATCTTAAGTATTTCCTGCTTTAGCCAGAACAAATTCAGATTTGGGGAGGACAAGATGATGCATGCAAGAGGAATGAACAGTGAGGAAACAGGGAAGGCAGAAGGAGACACACTGGGGCCTGCGCTTTCATTTTCCGGATGTTCTCTTCTAAAAGATCAGCTCAAAGCAATTCTCCAGATGACGTTGCACTTCATTAGTGAAGACTAGAAAGGGACTCTCTCTTCTGTTGGCCACATGCTATACTTTATTCAGAAAGCTAAAGATCACAGAAGCTTTGTTACCAGTTACACTGCACTGTTGATGCATATGCATCTTATACTTGACTAGAACGAAATCTAAATTTCTCATGTCATCTCTCCTTGCAGTCCTTTTGCAATTTAGTTGGGGAAGCCCGGTGATTGCATCGATCCCTGTGCGGTTCCTGCTTCTTAGATGTGGGTCACTGTGTTAAATGTCAAGATGTTCCTGAATTCTGTTTCCATCATTTGTTATCATTTGTTACATTTGCTATCTCTTCCAACTGTGGGCCATGCGTTTACAGAGTTTTACCCAAGTGAGGCCTAATGTTGACTAGGTAGTGATTAGCTTAAAATATCAAAAATCACTCTCCAGGAAGAGAGCAATTTATTAATCAGTTCCCTCTTGATACACCTACCAAACTGTTATTAATCCAGCTAATTATTCACACTCCCTATTTGTCCAAATGATAAATGTTAGCAATTTGATATACTTTCAGTTAAAAAAAAAATCCATAAACTAATGCATGCCATTTCTCATTAATCCACCTGAATTCCTTGATGGTTTTAATAAATTATCAATATAATAGAGATCAAACTCAAAGCACTTTTCCTTTCATTAAAATTTTAGTATTGAGGCCGGGTGTGGTGGCTCATGCCTGCAATCCTAGCTCTCTGGGAGGCCGAGGCAGGCGGATGGCTAAAGGTCAGGAGTTCGAAACCAGCCTGAGTAAGAACAAGACCTCTGTCTCTACTAAAAATAGAAAAAAATTAATTGGCCAACTAAAAATATATAGAAAAAAAAATTAGCCGGGCATGGTGGTGCATGCCTGTAGTCCCAGCTACTAGGGAGGCTGAGGCAGAAGGACTGCTTGAACCCAGGAGTTTGAGGTTGTTGTGAGCTAGGCTGATGCCATGGCACTTTAGCCCGGGAAACAGAGTGAGACTCTGTCTCAAAAAATAAATTTCAATATTCAGTC